AAAACTCTCACGCCCCCATGAGTATATGGCAAGTCCCTAACGCGCACTTCCCTCCCCTGAGTATATGGAAAGACCCTCACGCCCTCCATGGGTATATGACAAGAAATACCCTCACGCCCTCTCTCATGAGTATATGGCTAGAAAATCCCTAAGCCTCGCTGACTAAATGACAAAACCCTATCGCATCCCATAAGTATATAATCCCTCAAACCCTCATGAGTATATGACAAGACCCTAACGCCCCCATGAGTATATGACAAGACCCTCACGCCTACATGGGTATATGACAAGACCCTCACGCCTACATGGGTATATGACAAGACCCTCACGCCTACATGGGTATATGACAAGACCCTCACGCCTACATGGGTATATGACAAGACCCTCACGCCTACATGAGTATATGACAAGACCCTTACGCCTATATGGGTATATGACAAGACCCTCACGCCCCCATGAGTATATAACAAGACCCTCACGTCCCCATGAGTATATGACAAGACCCTCACGCCTACATGAGTATATGACAAGACCCTCACGCCCCTATGAGTATATGAGGAGACCCTAACGCCCTCATGAGTATATGGCAAGACCCTTACACTCCCATGAGTATACGACAAGACTGCCACGCCCCCTTTGAGTATATGGCAAGAAATACTCTCACCCCCTCCCCCCACCCTAATGAGTATATTTCAAGAAAGCCCCTCACGCCTCCCTCCCCATGAATATATATATATATATGGCAAGAAAACCTTCACGCCACTAAGAGTGTATGACAAGAAAACCCTCACGCCACTATGAGTGTATGACAAGAAAACCCTCACGCCACTATGAGTGTATGACAAGAAAACCCTCACGCCACTATGAGTGTATGACAAGAAAACCCTCACGCCACTATGAGTGTATGACAAGAAAACCCTCACGCCACTATGAGTGTATGACAAGAAAACCCTCACGCCACTATGAGTGTATGACAAGAAAACCCTCACGCCACTATGAGTGTATGGCAAGAAAACCTTCACGCCACTATGAGTGTATGGCAAGAAAACACTTAAGCCCCCCCCCCCCCCCCTGTCCCCTTTTCCGCCCCATGAGTATATGGCAAGACCTCTTCAGAATGTGTTCTGGATCTATAATTATATGCACGTATGTTACATTATTAAATTTTTACCGGTACATGTAAAACTGCGCCTGACCCACACACCAACCCTCACACACATACGCACGCACACATAAACACACAATTCAGTTTTTGTGTGTTTTGTAGTTTACAAAATATATTTTGACTGAAAAAATAAAAAAAAAAAACCGGATTATGACAAATACTATTGCACTTAATTTCAAACCCCTTGACACTCACCTTGAAACCTTCTTACACCCCCCCCCCCCTGGGGGGTGGGGGGGGGGGTGGGTGAAGGAGGCTTTCCCAGGCAGAAGACCACTGCACTAGTGTCTGCGCTGCTCCGCACAGAGCACAGTTTTAGAACAGCGGACGGAAATACATTGTACATAGATCGGAAGAGAAAGCTCAGTCGCAGAGGTGCTATTCGCCTTTTATCGTTTCCGGACAGAGGCGTCTGTGTTCTCCCTATCCATAAAACTCATTGGATTTGCAGCGACTGCTGGACATTTTTTTGGACTCGCAACTCATCCCCAGCGTTCTGGATCAGTTATATCACCACCGCCCAGCATTTCACCACAATCACTTGCCCGAAGCCGAACCTGTTGGTCTGGGTGAACGTCATGGCTTCCTTTAACTTTGGCGACTCCAGGACAGAAATGATTGCATCATACATTTTTCCATTTCTGACCCATCTTTAGGACTGGTTATAAGATCGACGATCTGCAAAGGAACTGCTATATGACGTTAGTGGTGTTCACGATGATGGATTGAAGATGATAACGACGACTTTGCCTTTTTTTTTTCACTATACACAGATAATCTATATTATCATCATTATCGTGTAGCAGCGGGTCCTTTCCAGAACGTTGCTCTCATCACGGTCTGCCCGAAAGAAACTAGGTCTCTCGCCAGCTTTCCTGCGTCGTTTACTGTCATATCGTGATTAACTGCATATCTGATCTTCCACTATTAAAAAGAAACTGAGTGAATGCATGCTTTTTTTTTTAATGGTACCTATTTGCAGCACTGTACACTGTACACACACACACACACACACACACACACACACACACACACACACACACACACACACACACTAACTCAAACGCACCCAGTGGCACAAATAAATGCATTTGGGTGTTTTGTCTTCTTTATAACAGCGACGTCCGTGAGCACACAGGGACATTTTCCTTTGGAAGATTGTCTAGAGGAGGATATTGATTTGTTTTCGCTACTGGATTATGACGGACTGACTTGGAAAATGCAGGATCACTTGCTACGTATATTTTTAGATTACTTACCAAGCTCACGGTGGAATAGTGCCATTGTGGTTGATTATTTTAGTGCTAACAATGAGACAGTTGATGTCAGTGAATGGAGTTTCAATGCTTTCGAGAGATTTTTAATGCAAGATGGAGACACTGTAGGGGTACCTAAGAGAAACTTCAGGACGCTCCTGGAGCTAAAAATACAAGCTGTCAAACGTTATTTTGCTGAAATGAGCGGAGTCAGAAAAAACGCGGTTCCTGTTGCAGTTGTCTTTTTTAACGGTAAAAGTCTGACGCGAGAAGAAATTAAAATCGTGCCATCCATTGTACAACAACAAAATGCAGACGTGAAGATCTTTACTGTGATATTTGGTAGTAGGCTTGTAGAGGAAATTGTTCACCTGACTGACACTCTTGTGTTACCAGACAAGGCAAAGGGAACATTCGCCCAAAACCTACTGATAGCGATTTGTAAAATGTGTCAAAAAGGCTGGGTTCTTTTTGAGCACAAGCGAGGCCTCAATATGCTCTCCTGCTTCAGAATAGACAGCATCCGACGGCAAAAATGGACCACTGGGATGACCAGGTGCAAATTTTCAAACAGCTATTTAGCAACAATTGAGACTTTGGACAAGATGTCATTTTTGAGGGAGCAGTTATTTATAACAATGAAGCAAAGGAACATATCTAATGCTACATTTCATATTGGTCTGCGTAGAGACTTGAGTAACTACGCAAAACGATTTCAGTCGGTGACCAGTTCAGGAAGTTTTTTTCCTCAGTTAGTCCACAATTGGCTCCCTGGTCAGCCTTGTAGAGAATGTGTCAACAATGACTGTGTGGTATGGCAATTTAAAAGTATCTGGACAGATGGTAATGTTAGCATCAGTGTGTTTCAGAATAGAACGTCCGATGCCAATACAACAAAAGAAGGTTGGATAAATGTTAACTGTCATTCTGAAATCATCTCCGCGCAACTGTGTGAAGTTGTTCTTCCTCGAAGAATGAACAATACTGACTTAAACATTAGTTCCTCACTTCCAAAAGCAAATATTACATCTTCATTAGAGAAGGGGCATTTTTAAATGTATGAAAACAATATCGTGTCCTTATATGCACACGTACCAAATTCTAATTTTCTTCAAATTTTGAGAAACTTAGATAGAGACTTTCCTATCTTTGACTGTGGGGAAGACGTAGGTGATCGTAGATATTTATCCTATAACATGGTCTGTGATTTCGTTGATCACTGTCGTAACAAACGGGATGAGCTTCTTTGTTTAAGACGATCAGAATTATGGGAAATTCCAGAGGATGAAATAACCTGCACGTCTGGACAAAGACTGTACAGCATAGAATATAAATGCGACAATGTCAAGCACTGTAGAGACGGCAGCGATGAGGGACGCTGCATTAATAAGGACTGTAAGAGTCTACGATGTCAAGATGGTTCCTGTCTGCCTTTGCAGTATCTCGGTGATGGAGAATTTGACTGTTTCATGTATACGACTAGTCCGTCCGAATATATCACTAGTGATGAAAGCTTCCAGTCATATTTACAAATATTGAAAAACAAGAGTTGTGCATTAGTATGCAACCGGGACATGTGTATAGAAGCATCTCAGCTTAACGACTCGGTAGTAGACTGTAATGGTCCTGAAAGACATTTAGCAAAGACTATAGGAAAGCTAGAGCCATCAAACACTTGCAAGAATATATTTGGGCATTTTATCTGGGCTCCAAAATGTCACTACATCAAAGATGGATATGGTGGTATCGTCGGGTGCAGAGATATGTCACATCTGAGAGATTGTGAGAACTTTCAATGTGGTTACGGGTATGTAAAATGTTATAATTCGTACTGTATCCCTTATCATCATCTTCGTGATGGAAGAGCTGACTGTCCTACAGGAGAAGACGAAAACATGTTCTACACTCACCTATGCACCGGACATTTTGCATGCTGGGACAGCAACATTTGTCTTCACCCTGATCTAGTTTGTGATGGAAATCCTGACTGTCCTTATGAGGATGATGAACTCAGTTGCCATGACTATTGTCCTGAAGGCTTTCGCTGCATTGGGGGAACAGTGTCAGTGTCTGATTACAACAGATCAGTTCCTTTCGACCTATATAGTTTGAGTGGTATAGACATACGGACAAGATACTTGGACCTCTCCGGAGTAGACATATCTGAACTGAAAGCATTTAGTTTTATAAATATAGTAATATATAGTAACTTGAAAGTTATTATCTTGTCTAAATGCAGAATTAGTGACTTATATTTACCCGATCACATCTTTGAGGTTGAAACGACACCACCGTTTGTGATTCAAAAACTAGACATTAGCTACAATATGTTTAAAATATTTTCTAAACATGAATACAACCATTATTATCAATACCTTGATTATCTCAATATGTCTTACAACAAGGAGCTAAAGACGGTAAAAAATCTAAGATTCAGTTTTCTTGAAATACTTGATCTATCTTACACACGACTGTCCTACCTAAATGGTTCTGTGTTTGTAGAATTACCTAAACTAAAACACCTAAACCTAAGCAATACTTTGATTTCAGATTTTACCGGGAGCTATTTCAGAATAAAAATGACACTGCAGACATTAGATTTACGAGGTATTCTTACAGAAGATCTCGACGACTATTCATTTCATAATCTCACAATTAGCCAGGAACTGTATACTGATCTTTTTCAGATTTGCTGTCCACAGATTCAGGGATTAGTAATTTCACCACGGGCATGTGTGGCCCCTGTAGATCAAGACGCCATTTCTTCCTGTTCTAACCTGCTAGGATTAGATATTCAGCGATTCCTTCTTTGGGTGGTTGCAATTCTCGCAGTTCTGGGAAACGTGATGGTTATTGTTTATCGTGTAATCTGGGATAGATCAGTTCTCCAGACAGGATACGGCCTGTTTGTGACAAACTTGGGTATATCCGACTTCATTATGGGAGTCTATCTGTTCATGATTGCTGGAGCTGATTCTTTTTACCGTGACAGTTACGTTATCTATGATAAAAGCTGGAGAAACAGTGTTGTGTGCAAGATGGTTGGTTTTATGGCATGTCTTTCGTGTGAAGCATCGACGTTCTTTGTTTTTCTGATCACCCTTGATAGATTTTTGGTGATGAAGTTTCCATTCGATCAAATTAAATTTAATAAGACTCTCAAAACTATCGCAGTTGTGATGTCTTGGATGGCAAGTTCTCTACTTTCACTTGTTCCTATTGTGTTCAACTTTGACATATATTCTTCTAACGCAATGTGTCTTGGTCTGCCCCTAACAAACACACAAGCTAGAGTTTGGGAGTATTCAGTTGCAGTTTTTATAATTTTTAACCTGATCATGTTTTTGTTCATTGCATGTGGTCAATATGCGATCTTCCGTGCCATGTCAGAGAACAGAGTATCTAAGACAACAACTAGCATGCCTTCTTCACGTCGAGCCGAAGATATAACAGTAGCTAAACAACTGTCTCTTGTAGTTCTCTCTAATTTTCTCTTCTGGTTTCCTGTGGGAATCATGGGACTGATGTCTCTTGGAGGTTATGAGGTCAGCAGTCAGGTTTATGCCTGGACAACAGTTCTCCTTCTGCCCATCAACTCCGCTGCAAACCCTGTTTTGTACACTATTCCTGCCCTACTGGTGAAATGGGAGCAGTTCAAACGTGGGGATAAAAGGGCACCTTCTGGTTCCATGCAATAGATATTTGTTGTATTGTTTTCCTGCGTACTCTTGGTTGTTGCCAATCCCGTTATATTCTGATTTAAATGATTTGTCACCATATTTTGTTTGTGTGTGTATTTTTTATTCTTTAATTTGTTAAAACATTTACTTAATGTGACATATGAAATGTTATTGCAATGTGATGCAGTGGCAGATAGATAAGGTGACAGTAATTTCAGAAGCCTCATTAACAAGCAAGGTCACTTCTCTGACCATTGAGATCTGAGTTATAGACATGTCACTTTTAATTTCATTTTAAAAGACTGGAGAATTTCTTTTTATAATAATAGTTTACTTTAACACGTGCTACGAAATGCTTGCTATTTCATCTATTTGTACTGATGAATGAAACTTTTACAAGGTCCTTATTATTAACCTAAGTAAAGTAAAGTAAAGGACCCTTTCCACGCCTTTAGGCGTATAGGGCATATAGGGCTAGACCTATATTTTTATGGACCAACGGCACAAGATGGGTGATGTGGTCAGCATCACGCCGGCCGCCTCTACTTCCCGGGATTGCACCCGGTACCCACTCAAGGCTGGGTCGACCTGGGAGCCAAGGTCATTTTTGAAGAAAAGTCCGTCTCCGCCAGGGAGCGAACCCACGACCTTCCGATCCGCGGCGCGCGTCTAGCCGCTCTGCCACGGCGACTCCCATTATTAACCTAAATCTGGCTATATCTATGTAAGAATACCCCCCCCCCTTCCTCACTCTATGTGTGTGTGTGTGTGTAAGTTTCTGAATGTGTGCATGTATTTAGATAGCTAGAGGCCCTGAGAAGATCAAGGAAATATGCACGAAAAGGATGTTGAGATGCTGATCAAGTTAGCTATAAAACTAATATAAATCATAATAATATAGATATATTTTGTTGTTCTCACAAAATATAGTTATATTTCCATGTACTAACAAAATATAGTTATATTTCTAATTACTCATAAAATATAGTTATATTTCTTATTATTCTTAAAAAATAGTTATATTTCTATGTACTCATAAAATATATATTTGTGTATCTTTGTAATCACAAAATATAGTTATATTTCTTATTACTCACAAAATATTGTTATATGTCTATGTAATCACAAAGTATAGTTGTATTTCTTATCACTCTTAAAAAATAGTTATGTTTCTGTGTATGTACTCATAAAATATAGTTATATTTCTATGTACTCATAAAATATAGTTATATGCCTCACAAAAAATTGTTCTATTTCTTATTACTCTTTAAAAATAGTTATATTTCTATGTACTCATAAAATATAGTTATATGTCTATGTACTGACGAAATATGGTTATACTTCTTATTACTCTTTAAAAATAGTTATATTTCTATGTACTCATAAAATATAGTTATATGTCTATGTACTCACAAAATGACTAACTGACTGACTTTCTACCCTACCAGGACATCACACAAGCGAAAAACACCCGAAGACACAAAGTGCCACTATGTGGATGAGGATCACCGTGGAGAGGTCCCAGAAACCGCGTTCAGACAATTGGTCATATTGATGGCCTGCCTATATTGCGGCCCCTGGCAAAAGCCAGAGTGGGGCTTCAAACAACAAAAAATTACGTCCTAATAAGGACGTAAGGATATGGTTAACTCACAAAATATAGTTATATTTATTATTACTCTAAAAAATAGTTATATTTCTGTGTACTCATAAAATATATATATATATATATATATATATATATATATATATATATATATATATATATATATATATATTATATATTTATATATATGTCTATGTACTCACAAAATATAGTTATATTTCCACGTACTCACAAAATATAGTTATATTTATTATTAATCTAAAAAAATAGTTATATTTCTGTGTACTCATAAAATATATATATTTATGTCTACATACTCACAAAATATAGTTATATTTCCATGTACTGACAAAATATAGTTATTTTTCTTATTACTCTTAAAAAATAGTTATATTTCTGCTTCTCATAAAATATAGTTATATGTCTATGTACTCACAAAATATAGTTATATTTCTATGTACTCATAAAATATATTTGTATATCTATGTAATCACAAAAAATAGTTATATTTCTCATTACTCACAAAATATAGTTATATGTTTATGTAATCACAAAATATAGTTGTATTTCTGATTACTCTTAAAAAATAGTTGTTTCTATGTATGTACTCATAAAATATAGTTATATGTCTCACAAAATATAGTTCTATTTCTTATTACTCTTAAAAAATAGTTATATTTCTCTTAAAATATAGTTATATGTCTATGTACTCACAAAATATAATTATATTTCTTATTACTCTTAAAAAATAGTTATATTTATGTGTACTCATAAAATAATAGTTACATGTCTATGTACTCACAAAATATAGCTATATTTCCATGTACTCACAAAATAAAGTTATAGTTACCATTACTCATAGTTATATTTCTATGTACTCATAAAATATAGTTATATGTCTATGTACCTACAAAAAAATTAGTCATATTTCTTATTACTTTTAAAAATAGTTATTTTTCTGTGTACTCATAAAAATAGTTATATGTCTATGTACTCACAAAATATAGTTCTTTTTCTATGTACTGACAAAATATAGTTCTTTTTCTATGTACTCACAAAACATAGTTATATTGCCATCTACTCACAAAATCTAGTTGTATGCCTATAAACTCACAAAATATAGTTATGTTTCTACTCCAAAATATAGTTATATGTCTATGTACTCACAAAATGACTAACTGACTGACTTTCTACCCTACCAGGACATCACACAAGCGAAAAACACCCGAAGACACAAAGTGCCACTATGTGGATGAGGATCACCGTGGAGAGGTCCCAGAAACCGCGTTCAGACAATTGGTCATATTGATGGCCTGCCTATATTGCGGCCCCTGGCAAAAGCCAGAGTGGGGCTTCAAACAACAAAAAATTACGTCCTAATAAGGACGTAAGGATATGGTTAACTCACAAAATATAGTTATATTTATTATTACTCTAAAAAATAGTTATATTTCTGTGTACTCATAAAATATATATATATATATATATATATATATATATATATATATATATATATATATATATATATATATATATATATATATTTATATATTTATATATATGTCTATGTACTCACAAAATATAGTTATATTTCCACGTACTCACAAAATATAGTTATATTTATTATTAATCTAAAAAAATAGTTATATTTCTGTGTACTCATAAAATATATATATTTATGTCTACATACTCACAAAATATAGTTATATTTCCATGTACTGACAAAATATAGTTATTTTTCTTATTACTCTTAAAAAATAGTTATATTTCTGCTTCTCATAAAATATAGTTATATGTCTATGTACTCACAAAATATAGTTATATTTCTATGTACTCATAAAATATATTTGTATATCTATGTAATCACAAAAAATAGTTATATTTCTCATTACTCACAAAATATAGTTATATGTTTATGTAATCACAAAATATAGTTGTATTTCTGATTACTCTTAAAAAATAGTTGTTTCTATGTATGTACTCATAAAATATAGTTATATGTCTCACAAAATATAGTTCTATTTCTTATTACTCTTAAAAAATAGTTATATTTCTCTTAAAATATAGTTATATGTCTATGTACTCACAAAATATAATTATATTTCTTATTACTCTTAAAAAATAGTTATATTTATGTGTACTCATAAAATAATAGTTACATGTCTATGTACTCACAAAATATAGCTATATTTCCATGTACTCACAAAATAAAGTTATAGTTACCATTACTCATAGTTATATTTCTATGTACTCATAAAATATAGTTATATGTCTATGTACCTACAAAAAAATTAGTCATATTTCTTATTACTTTTAAAAATAGTTATTTTTCTGTGTACTCATAAAAATAGTTATATGTCTATGTACTCACAAAATATAGTTCTTTTTCTATGTACTGACAAAATATAGTTCTTTTTCTATGTACTCACAAAACATAGTTATATTGCCATCTACTCACAAAATCTAGTTGTATGCCTATAAACTCACAAAATATAGTTATGTTTCTACTCCAAAATATAGTTATATGTCTATGTACTCAAAAAAGTTAGTTTTTTTTTCTATGCACTCTAAATGTAGTTATATTTCTATGTACTCTTAACATATATTTATATTTCTATGTACTCTCAACATATAGTTATATTTCTATGTCTTCTCAAAATATAGTTATATTTCTATGTACTCACAAAATATATTTATATTTCTTTGTCCTCTCAGAATATATCCATATTTCTACCTTCTTTTTCTTAAGCATTCCGAGCCCTTTTAGGTTCAGTGCTGCAGATATCATTTGCCTTTATTTATCGCTCTGGTTGGTTTTTTATTTCCAGTTGGGCTGGCGACACCAATTGTTTGTAGGTCTGTCTGGACATTATTTCTACATGGTCTTCTTGGTCTGCCTCGTGGTGTACGGCCATTCATCTCCCTGGTGTATACAGTTTTTACTTCTCTGTCATCTGTCATTTTTTCTGAATTTCGTTGTTGCTTCTTACTCTCCATTTCCCGCTGTGTGCATCTTTGATGGGTCAAAAGATTCGTCGTAAAACTCTATTTACGAAAACTTTTAATTAGGCTTCATCTGTTTTAGCTGTGCTCCAAGTTTCTGAGCCAAATAAAACGAATGGTCTTATCAAAATGTTAAATTTTTTGATCTTGGTAATGCGAGATAGAGACTTTGACTTTAGAAGATGTTAAGGGCATAGTATACTTTATTTCCAGATTGTATTTCTTATCTCAGCATGTTGGAGCAGTTTAAGTTTGCACCCAATTACTTTTATATTTTAGTTTGTTCGATTTACATATTATTAACTTGTATGTGGCCGAAGTTTATATCCTTTTCCTGTCTTGTTATTATCTTGTATTTTATCTGACCTTGACTGACAGCGAGTCCCATTGTGTGAGTGCTTCTTTTAAG